CAGGCCCGGCCCCGGCCCAGACTCCGCCCCTGGCGCTGGGCCGAGATTCCAGCGGAAGCCTAGCCCCTCTCCGCTCGTCTGCCTCTTTCCTCTCTTGACACGTTTATCTCTGTCTCTGTCTCCGCTTATTTGTAGACTCTCTGCCAGGGCTGGGGGGTCCAGAGGCGAATCACGAGCCCTGCCCACAGCGAGCTTGCAGTCTAGGGGTCAAGACAGAATTGTCCACAACCAGCGGTAACACAGGCTAATGCAGCCAGGTGGAAGCAGGGACTCCGGTGAGAAGGTCACAGTGGCCACGGAAATGATCAGAATTACCTTTTATTGATGCCTGCTATCATCCTCACAACAAGGTTGGTATTTTTGTCTTTATTTAACAGACGAAAACTGAATCTCAGGAGGATTGACATCCCCCCCCCCCCCAAAGAAAGTCAGGATTAGAATCCAAGTCAACGTGGGTCCTAAACTAGTGGCCCTATGCTGCGTGGATGAGGAGGTGGGGCTTCAATGTACCTTAAAAGTTGAGCAAGATTTCCACATCAGAGAAAGAGAGAGAGAGGTGGGGGCACAAGTAAGGCACCAGGGTCCGGGTTCAGTGAAGTCTAAGGTGTATAAAAAATGAGGGAGAAGTTAGGGACAATCTGGAAAGCATTGAAAGGCAGGCAGGCTAAGAATTGTGTTGTTGTTTTTTTAATATTGTACATGGTGAGGCACCAGCAGAAGTGGTTCAGCAAGAGAATGATTCCGTCCCTGTGTTAGGATTCAAATACATTGAGTTGATAGTTGCAGCTGTCCTGATGATAAAGGATGCAGGCCTGAGCCAGGGCCACAGCAGTGGGGATGAAGGAAGGAAGGGAGATGGACAGGCTGGGAGTTGAGTTGGTAGAGCATATGACTGATTAAATGGAGCAGGGGCAGAGAGGATTCCAGAATGTCTCAAGCCTGAACAGAAAAAAATATCCTTGTCTTATCACCCAAAGCACCTTTTAGGCCAAATAGGGAGCACCTGTCAGAATTCAAATTGTACAAAGTCCTTGCAATTCTGCGTCCAGGAATTTAACCTGTAGATATTTCCCTCAATAGACAAACACGTATGTCCAAAGGTATTCTTCTCAGCTTTGCTTTGATATGAAGAGATTGGGGACAACCTAAATGTCCCTCAGTTGGGGACCAGCTAGGTTAACTGTGGTATATTCACAAATGCAACACTAGGTAGCTTCCTAAAAGAGGGAGGTGACTCTATGTATCCTGACACAGTTCAGTGGTCAGATAGGGAAGTTGCAGTGTTAGAGCATATTATGACTCATTTGCGAGAAGAAAATACAAGGATACACTTTATCTTTTCAAAATACTAAAGCATGTATGAATGAAATGATTTAATGTCTTGGATTTGCATCAAAATAATGGAACGGGCCTTTTGGCTAGAACCACCATCTTCCAATAATTTCCAAAATGACCAATACAAAGGGAAAGAGGAGAGGCACCAGCGAGAGGCACTATACGTTCTCTGGGCCTTTTAGAAAACATGGAGTTGTTTCTTTGGCCACATACATCTGAATCTACAAGAAACGTGATATTGTAGACTTCAAGGGATGTCTACAAATGTTCCCTTGGCAAAACTGGGTGAGTCTACAATGTTACCCAGCATGCGGTGGGCATTGTTGTAAACAAGGGCAAGATTCTTGCCAAGAGAATTGATGTATGTGTTGAGCATATTAAGCACTCTAACAGCTGATAGTTTCCTGAAACGTGTGAAGGTAAATGATCAGAAAAAGAAGGAAGCCAAAGAGAAAGGTACTTGGGTTCAACTGAAGGGCCAGCCTGCTCCACCCAGAGGAGCTCACTATGTGAGAACCAGAGGAAAGGAGCCTGAGCCGCTGGCCCCCACTCCCTGTGAATCCATGGCATGATTTTATATATATACACTGAGGGGCCAGATTATTATGACCGCCCCATCAGTACTTCATTGACACTTCCAAAAATACTGAATATTGAAAACTTCCTAAGCAAATACTCTCAAGGTTTTATTATTATTTAATAATCTGGCCACTCAGTATATATATATATATATATATATATAAAAATACTCTGTACTGTTAAAAAAAATGATGCTTCTCTTAATTGAGAAGTGTCGTGTCCCCTCCCCAAAAGAAATATTTAAAGAAAACTTTGTGTCCTAAAAAAACAATGGGATGGGAGTTCAGTGGGTAGGGATATAAATAAATAAGACTGTCCACTGAATTGATAATTGTGGAAGCTGGATGATCAGCACGTGGAGGTGGATTTTATACCATTTTCTCTATATCTGTATGTTGTGAAATTTTCCATTTTAAAAAATGGGGCAAATGGTCTCAGCCCTCCATTCTCATTTGTCCCTTAAACCCTCCATTCCAGTTGAGCATGCATCATGTTAGTTCATGCCTCTGACAATACCCTTCCTTCAATCTGGCAGTCTTCTCTGCCTGGAAAATCCCTACTCTCATCAACAGCCAGGGCAATTGTCACTTCCACTGAGAAGCCTCCTCCCACTCCTACAGTCAGAAAAGATTGTCCCTTCTCGATGCTTGGGGCTCCTTCTCTGTGAAGGGTCTCTATTTCTATTATTGCAAATACTATGCTCCAGCGTCATTATTCATCTCCCCGGCAGACAGTAAACATTTCCACAAATGAGACAATATCTCATCAGTCTTTTGCCTGATCTGGCCCTTAGCCCTCTGCTTGGCTTAGAACTGGCACTTAATAAATATTTGTTCAATTAAGAGGTAGGGTCTAGCAAGGAAATTACTAGTTGTTTGATTTGGTATATGTTGATTTTGAAAAGTCTGAGGAATATAGGAGAGAAAGTGAATGAGAAACTAGTGTTATTGAGCCTCTGTCAAAAGTGTGCTGGGGCAAGGAACAGAGTAGGGAACAGAAGGCAAGGCTCCTGCTCTTAAGGACTTTACTTTCCCTTGGTTGGGGGAGAGCATGGAGAAAGATGTAATTATAGAACACTAGAGACCCAGTGCATAAAATTCGTACACAGGTAGGGTCCCTAGCAGCTGCCGGCTGCTGGCCGTGGCACTCCCTTACCCCGGCTGCCTGCAGCTGCCAGCCGTACCCCTGGTCGAACTCCTGGTCAAACTCCTGCTCAAACTCCCGGTCGAGGGGACAATTTGCATATTAGGCTTTTATTATATAGGATGGTAAGTGCCATGGAGGAAATGGACATGGCAAAGCTTATTCCACTCCAGAGAAGTATCATGAGCCCACTTACGGATAAGTAGATGAGCAGGTGTTCCGATGAAGTCACTTTGCAAAGTCCACAGCTGTGAGTGCTGAACAGGACTCACACCCTGGGCTGCCCCCTCCAAAGCCCATGCACTTTCCTCTGCCCTGTGCTGCCTCTCAGCAAGCAGGTGAAAATTCGGCGCTCAGGCTGAACATTCAAATTGGATGCCATCTGTCTCTAGAGGAGAGTTTAAATGGGGGCGGGGGTGGGGGGGGGGTAAGGGCAGCTGACATTCATTGAGTACCTAATACACTCACGACCTCACAGTAAGCATTTTACACACAAGAATGTATTTATTCCATATAACAACTCTCATGAAGCAGGACTCTTAACAGCCCCCACTTGACAGTCCAGGAAATGGAAGCTTAGGAATAGTTGACAGAGATCACACAGCAGCAAACACAGAGTCTGGTCTCTTACCCTCCATTATTTTGTGAGAGAGAAGACTGAGATCAGAAGCCAGGTTAGGAAATAGCGGAACCAGTGAAAGAACCAGATGGTTCATTCAAGGATGTTGGATGAGAACTGGAGGTGGGGAGGAGACGTGTCCTGAGAGCCCAAGAAAGACTGTTAGAAAAGGGACCTGTGCTCAGTGTCAGAGCCCATGGAAAAATCCAGCACGGAGACCTGAAGGTTGTGGGATTCAGCCAACATGAGGTGGTAAAGAACCTTCGACAGAGCTATTTTGGGAAATGCAAACCTAACTCCCTACAGGGTCACTACCCAAGCCTCTGCTTGCCTTCCCTTACGTACCCCGCCCCCCGAAGACTCCTGTCCGTATTCTTCCTACTCAACTTCTCTGTTTGGGGAAGCCCTGGACTGTGCTCCCCATTCCCAACCCACCTCCACTCTGATCTCAGTCTCCCCATTTCTCCTGGCCCCAACCCAACACCTACAGAGCCAACTCTAACCAGCCAGTGCACCACCTGTAGGCTGTACCAGCCTCCATCAAGGCCATTCACTCACAGTACATGCCCAGGCCCCCTGACAAAGGACAGCTGTATCCCCCACCAGGGACAGGTGCTGGACTGGGAAGCAGGTGGGTGTCAATGGCTCAGGGAAGTGGGAGGGAAGAAAAGGCAAGAGGTTCCAGTGAGAGTGAATTCGCCAGTCACTTACCATGGCTCTTTGTCAAAACCACTCAACCTTGGCTTCATCAGCTCTGCACCGAACAATTGAAAGAAGCAGCTCTGACGACCACATGATTTTGCTTCCCCACCCACTCCAACCATAACTGATTGGAACAGGATGGTCACCTTCTCCAAGAGAATCCTGAACTTGGAATCAGGACACCTCATGAGTGGCTGAAGACCCAGTGGTCCAAGGACCCCAGTGTCTAACTGCCCTGTGGAGACAGCTGAGCTGAGGCAGTGAGACTCATGGCTGAGCACTAAGGTTAATAAAGACCCGTGAACAGGCTGCCCCCATCGCTGCCCTATCTGTGGTCTGATGGTTCAGCTCTTCCTGGGTTTCTGCAAGCTATCTCTTTAATAAAACTTGTGTTGCCCTAACCGGTTTGGCTCAGTGGATAGAGCATCGGCCTGCGGACTGAAGGGTCCCAGGTTTGATTCCGGTCAAGGACATGTACCTAGGTTGCAGGCACATCCCTAGTAGGAGGTGTGCAGGAGGCAGCTGATCGATGTTTCTCTCTCATCGATGTTTCTAACTCTTTATCCCTCTCCCTTCCTCTCTGTAAAATATCAATAAAATATATTTTTAAAAAAATAAAAATAAAAAATAAAACTTGTGTTGTACCAGTGGGTTTCTGTTGCTGGCATCCCTAATCTCCTTGGCCAAGGTAGATTTTTGTAGGACTGAGAGCACAGGGCAGGAGTCCGAAGGTGGGAGGGTCTGAGCTAAGGGTTTCATAAATAACAGTTAAGTGTGTCGATGTCTAAATCGGAGTGGAGGCGACCTCCTTCAAGTCCTTGGGTTGAGTCCACTCCATTCTGTTCAACACACATTTCATGAGCACCTGCCTTGTGCCTGACGTGGTGCGAGAGGCTAGGGCGGCCAAGACAAACAAGCAGCAGCTGCTCTTGTGATGCTCACAGTCTCGGGGTGGGTACAGACATGGAAACATACTGCAATATGACATAATGAAAGCAGCAATGGAAGCACATACAAAGTCGGTGGCAAGTGGGGTGGTGGAACAGCATCGTGGAAAAACAAGCAAGGGGGTCTTTGAACCACGGTTTGGAGTCATCCAGGAAGGCTGAAGAGTCCTGGAGGGTTTTAGCCAAGGCACTAAAACGGGGGAGAGCAAAACTCCCAGGCTTCAGGATAGGTGGGCGTGCTGAAGAATGGTGTTGGGGGCACCTGGAAGGTTCAGAGAGGAGTGGGGGGGAAGCCAACCTCTCTTTTTCCCCAGGGAGCCTGGGAAGTGAGCTATGGGCCTCCAGAGATAATGGAGACAATAACAACAAATTGTGTGTTGCTTG